CTTTCAATTTTCTTATCTTGGATAAAATAAATGTATTATAATATTGATTAAAATTATTGCCTTTGATAAAACAGAATTTTTTTAATGATAGTTGATATGTATTCTTTCATTTAAATTGAATATGTTATTTAACTAATAATTAAAAAGTATACAACCAAAGAATTTTTTAAAAATACAGGTTGTTTATTATTAAAACGAATTAATACTCCAAATCCTTCACATAAATGAATAACTTCGTTCTGACAATATTAGATTATCTGATTCTTTTTAAACCCTGTTGGTTGTGTGTTTGTTAAATGACCTACATTTCAAAGAAAACATTTTCTTCAAAAATTAAAAAGAATATAAAGGTATTAAACAAGGTTGTTCTTTAAAGTTTTACCCATTAAAATAGTTTTATAAAAATTGTAAAAATTATTTCTAAATTAAATTTTTTAATTTATAATATTTCTTACATTATTTTTTTTAATAAACATTAATTCAAAAAATGATTAAGAAATAAATATATATTCGTTTTATAATTGTTATATGTTAAAATAAAGTTTGTAAGTACTGGGTATGTCAGTGGAAAATCTGGGATATAAAAAGTGTTCTTACAAAAGAATATTAAAAGAGTTACTACAATGGACTTACTATTTTTATCATAATAATAAGAAAGAATTGAATTAAAGAATTCAGAACAGTTGAGGTTATTAAATCATTAATTTGTAATTATACATCAGAGTCTTTAGGAAAGCCATTGTTATGAAGAATTTAATATTTTAAAAAATTATTCTATTAAGAAATTACAAAAATTTATCTTATTCCTCATTATTTTTGTTAAAAAAAAATTAGCGATGTGTTGTTTGATTGAAGAAATGTAACTGTTGATATGAATTAAATAATTCTGAATGAGAAACTCCATTTTTTCTGCAATTCGTTATCATTGTTATGAAGGATTTTTTCTATTGTTAGAAAATCAAGTAAATTTAAAACATCAAAATTCATTATGAAAGAATTTATTATATTCTCTTTATATGACTACTAAGTGAAGAGAATATGAATTTGGTGAAATTAATTATTGAAATATAACACAATCTACAGATATCAAAAATAATTCAGAAACACTTCTTTTTATGCAAAATGTTCAGAAGAGATATTTGTATTTAATTATTTGATGTCAAATGATATTCATAATAATCAGCAAATAATGTTTTAAACAAATAAATTAAATGAAGACAGTAAATCAAAAAAGTTAATAGATAACATGAACCAACACCAACTAGGATAAATTTAAAAAGTAATTTACCACAACAAGAAGGTGATAAATCATGTTATAGTAATAAAAATTACATACATATTCTTTCTATCTTCACAACTGCATATTATTTAATTTCTCTGATGCATATCAAATAATTAATAGTAAGGTTATGAAACTAGTTTATATAAAGATATGAATAAACATGAATTTAAAATAGAATCGAGATGTCAATGAAAGTTAACTGATATAATGCTTTATTCAACAATAACACATTGTGATAATAAAAATTATAGAGATATTCTCTTGATGGGGTAGAATTAAAGTAATACTTCAAAGTATGATTTTTTAAAGATTACCTAAAAATTTCCATTAATTTTCAAAAATACTAATTTATACTGTGGTTGTAGTGAATCTTCAGCTCTTCATATTTGTCTTACTATTTACCATTCAATACATAAACTATATGATCTATTTAGTCTTGTAGTTAAATGTTCTTTTAAACACAATTTAGTTTTTCTGGATATCCTAAAAACATTGTTTGTCTACCAATTTCAAATGGACTTCATAATCATGGATATTGTTCATCAACACACTAGTAAATGATGATTATTCAACTGGAAATGTAACATAATTACTAAGTTTTTGCTTCCTAGAAGAGGTCAAAGTAATAATGAATGTAAAAGATTACTTGGAGAAAGATTCTTTAGAGTATATCCTCAGTATGTTGTAGTGGTAATTTAGTTGACACAAAAAAGATAAATTTATCAAAAAAAAAATATGAGAAAATTATCCATTAGATGCTCTTGAAAAATGGTAAAAGAATATGAGATTAGTGATTTTAATAAATAAATTCAATTTAACATTTATTTTTTACTATTTTCAAAAATATATTGAAATAAATCTAAAGAAAGAGAAGAATAAATTAACGATAGTTCCAATTTAGATAACATTGTATTTATTATTAAACTGTTAATTCATCAACCAGTTTAAATATTTTAAAATAAGGTAAATGATAAGTATTTTAATAATTTAATTTGATAGATTATTTGGAAGAAGATGTACCTATGTAAGTTTAAAACAATTTGTATAACTAAATTCTTAAATTAATAGGAATGAGTTTATACTCAATAGTTTGTAGTTATACAATAATACCTTGAAAAAATATAAATTTGATAATCAAATAGTTTATGAAATCTTACTTTAGATAACTTTAATTCTGGTGAATTTAAGTGTATAAAATTAAAAACATAATAAAGTAATTGAATCAAATAATATCATTTTTTTGTGAATTCTGGTATTGTTCTAAGAGAAATAAAGAACAATTAACTCCTTCAAAATTTGTAGAGAAAAATCTCTAAAAACAATGGTGATTATAATAGAATATTTGTAGGACAAAATTTTGAATTGATAAGTAAAAAAAGTTATCTTTCTTCAGTTATCATACTTCATTAATTTAGTTTTGTAAATATTTAAACTCATTGTAATTCTTTATGTCATTTAATTTAATTATTCAATACGAATAAATTTTCTCCAGAATTGATAAAATATAAAGTTCATCAGAGACAGAAGAAAGTGGA